TTCAGTGTCACGTTTTCCGTTCTTTGTTACGCACTTCCCAGATATTTAAATTTTCGCACTTGTCTGGATTTGCTATCTCCGATTCGCCATTCGCAATTTCAGATCATCCTTCTGCTGAAAATGATGCATTCTGTCTTGCAGTTGATGTTTAATTCTTCCTTCTCACTTTCCTTAACTAACTTCTTTAGTAGTTTTCCTAATTTTCTTTCCGGTCTGCAATCAACTGCATGTCATCTGCATATCTTATGATGATAAATACCACACACTTAGTGCAATCAGCTGAAAATATTAAAAAAAACAACTCTCAGTAGGTTTAATGAATACAGATTGTATTAGAATGAGGCCTAAAATAATGCAAGAATATCGTGGAACAAGAAATACTATATTTACGATCAAGATTCTATCATATCCAGCACTATAATTACGGAATTAACTTTATGTCCCATAGATTACACAACATAATGTGATCTATTTTGCCAGCAAGAACTACTTGATATAGTAGAAAACTGTGAGTTACACGAGAAGTATAGTTGAGTAATTCGCAGACACTAATGAAAAAAAGGTTTTCATACAGATAAAGAAATAGTTAATTAACTACACAAAATTCGAAAGAATTATGAGTCAAATATTATGTTTCCTATCAAAACTACTTAATCTAGACAGCGAGACGATCATATTAGAAAGAAAATAACGACCAGGCTTATCAGTGTACATTATGCTAACAAGAAAATATATACTAACAACACTGAATTAAAGACAGACATCAGTAAAAAAGTACAATTGCACAAAGGATTAAATTTGGGAAAGTCAAAAATGTCTATCAAATGTAAAATGAGTGAATGTGTAAAGTCGCCAAAAGTGTCAGCAAAAGATGTGAATTACGTATTAGGGACATCACAATCAAGAAGATGTACAAATTTGAATGTCTTTGTATTGTAGTAACAAACAACCGAAAACAGGCTTCAAAATTTGAAGACTTATACTAATAGTGAAACATGTATTTCCGAAACTAAGCAATATATTAATATACAGAAAAATATAATTAGACACAAAGAAATGAATGCGATATTTAATAACCTATAAAACAGCGAATGCGGAGATAAATATTCGGAGATAAATAAGTGATTTAAATTGGCAGAAATGCAGTTCGATCGGCGAACACTAAAAGTACCATTGGCAGATTATGCGACCAAAGAGGAAATATCTAAAATATCTTGTACTTGGAATCAGAATGGGAGAGAGGAAAGTGTGGGTAGAGAATGTAATACTAGTATTAAATCTTCAAAGTTGAAGAAACTGCGAATAACATCGAGTATTCTTGTTATATACCGTACCAATGAACACCAATGGGTATGTCCCAATCCTAATAAATACGTTGGACACTATTGTAAGTGGGGGTAATATGATGCCTATGTAGTCCACCACGAGCAGTGGTTTACGTGCTTCACGCCGCTGGTGAGTGCTGTATTTTGTTGATGTTATTTCATTTCCAACCTCCGTTTTGGTTATTCCTCATTCAGTAACCCTTCCTAGGTTACAACAATCCTATTTAACGATTTCTTTGTGAATGGATGGAAGGAAAAAGAAATGATAAATTGTTTAACATTAATTAGATTAAAAAAATGCATTAAGCTTTGGTAAGTCATAATGTCCCATATATCGAATCGACATTCTGCATAAAAGAAGTTATTTCGTCACTCACAGATACATGTCGATGGGACTTTGTACCAAAACTAGGCTAAGTAAATTTAGGACTTCCTCTGAGTGTGATAATTTTAAACGTGTTTCGTTTGATAAAACCTTACTTCTTTATCTCATTCTCACTAAGTGTTCGATACTGGGCCTTGTGTCAAACTAAATTAGGCTTAGTAAATAAAAAACGATTCTCCCAAATTAAGCTGCCTGTCATAAACTCTGGATAAGCTATTCTGTTTCGCCATTTCTGCAATATTGTGATTTGATCATTATGGGTCGTAATATGTCTACGCCGAACTAAACAAATTATCACATCTCCCTGTATAGCTATCCGTCTATCTTGATCTATACAGACAGAAAAACATGCACACACATTTGCACGAGTGTCTGTGTGTGTGAGTATGCATTTGTGTATGAGAGAGTGAGAGTGAACATCGTTATGTATGCATATCAGAATTCATTTTACTGCGGTGAGTTAGAATTTCGAATACAAATAAATTCTGTCAGGAAAAATCAAGAAAACGCTACAATAAATATGATTATATCTGGATAACAAGTTAATTCAAAATCTCTTTTTTTCTCTAAATAACCCATAGGATTAAATTAAAATAATCGGAATATATTCCAGTTTAATCTAAATATTTTTACCGCATGATTCTTCATTGTCATTCTTTTGGCTCTGTTACTTATATAAAACAAATAAAATACTCTGGAATATTGCAATTTCTATGCTTTCCTATTGCTGGCATGATAATTGGTGATGGTTTCATTATGGCAAAAAATTCTTGAAACAAAGTACTCATGTGAAGACGATTTCAATTAATCGCGATAAAACACGAACATTTATTTAAATTTACTACATAATACTTACGATACAAAGTATTAATGCTGGCCGTTCAGATATGTCAAAGAGAAACCGAGAAGTGTGTACGTCAAATTAAATGGTGAAAGTCCTGATATTATAATGATGAAATAATTCAACGCTAAGAATAGAACACGTCAAATAATATTTATAACAGAACATGGTAGCTTATTCGGTCCAGTTACCGCGGATATTCAAGAGTCTATCACGCCAGCCACCACGGTCCTGCAACAAGAGTGGAAAATCATTACGGAGGCATTCTGTATTATAATGTAGCTGGTTAATGTAGGTTGTTGCAGGGAAACCAACTCAATTTACTCGATGCCTCGGTGTTCAGTCCTGTAGATCACTCACGAGTTCTTCTCTACAATTTAAAAGTCAAATAATTACCTTGCATTTGTTACTTTAAATTTAGAATTACAGGCAAGTTACATTGGTTCAAGACGCGGGCCCTCCACAATCACTAAAATTGTGTATTTTTTGTTAATATATTAGTATAAAACTGAAAATCAATACAAATATAATCAAAATATGATTGCTGATAGTCAAAACTACCGTATATCCACTTAATATATTTAGTTAATGTATATTATATTATTTATATATATATATATATATATATATATATATATATATATATATACTCTATATTTAATTATATTGTATTATTGAATTACATAAAACAAAATTGCATAAAAATTATCGTCATATTTAACTCATTTTGCTAAAATTCTATTCTTCCATTTGTAAACCACATAGAAACACAAGCGTTCGCACACGCACACGCAACACGTACGCACACGCGAGCACGTACACACACATACACGCACCCCATATATATATATATATATATATATATATATATATATATATATATATCAATATATCAAGTTATGAATGCTAACCTAAAAATTACTTCGCTAAGGTCATTTCAGGCTTTTTTTTTTCAGCGAATCAATCTAATGGAGATCAACAATTCAAGTACTTTCGTTCGAAACCAGAAATAGTGGGGGATGTAAGGAAAACAAAAACCAAATATATATATATATATATATATATATATATATATATATATATATATATATATATATATATATATTGATCTTTCGTGTCTGAGTATGGTTACCTTCTTGTGTGTTTACCTAATCCTGATTGCAGGTATCTCCTCGGGTACATTTGTGTTTATTAAATAACCTAGTGACATATTTGTGGCTTATATCACAACTAAAATAAACAGACATTAGTTAGAGTTTCTGGGAGAGTGTACATAATCTAACGTGATCAGTAGATGAGTAAGTGTTGTACACACTTTCGGTCAGAAAGATATCTGATTTCATACTTACGGAATCATCGGTGGATTACGAACAGTTACACGCACAAGGCTTAGGTCAACATGTGGTATGGCTTTCAATCATTTCCCAGCGGTGCCGCACGATGTGATCGTCTATCCGAGGCGATATTACAAAGAGAGATCATGCCGAGATTCGGTTCGTATTGTCGCAATGTTTTAACCACGCACCCACACTCTTTCTTTCTTACACAACCACACACATATATACACGGAATCATATATATATATATATATATATATATATATATATATATATATATATATTATAAAATTAACTGATTTAAAATATGTTTTCTTCGGTACACAGGAATTACCATGTTTCAAAAAACCGAAGCCAAAACTTTCAAATTTAATTATATAATTAAATTAAAAGCAGTGATTCTGTTTCATCTTCAAGCGAAATTTAGAATGACATATTTTGAAGTATTAAATACACATACACTTCATCATTTTTTGTTTCCCAGGATACAGAGAAATCTAATCATTTACACAGGGGCGGTAGCGTGTTCATTTTTATTAACTATTATTGTATCAATTATGAGTTACATTCGAAAAAGAGGTTAAGACTAAGTAGGTTTGTGGTGCATTTTTCAACGAATTTTAACATCTGTTCAACGCATGTTGTCCTTTTTTTTATCAGTCATTTAATTTATAATATTTATGCTCTTTAAATTTACATTGAGCATTGTTTTGCAAAATTAAAAAATATCAATAAGAACACCGGAATCAATAACTTACAGTTCTTTTTTTTTATTAATTTATATATATATATATATATATATATATATATATATGTGTGTGTGTGTGTGTGTGTGTGTGTGTGTGCACATAATTTAATTATGAATTTAATTTTTGCCAAAATTTGTGTTCGCCAGATGTATTTTTTTTTTTAAATTGCTAAATATTTTCCTAGAAAGAAAAAAAAATTGACCATAATAATATATCCTGATCGAAGCAAACTACTTAATAAAAGATCTGAAGTAATGACAGCCTGCAAACACGCGAAAATTCGTACTGGCAAATCATGATACCTGAATTAGTATTTATAGGAGCAGTTTTTCACAGTTATTTGCCCATTCTATTCGCCCACAGTCTTTTCTTTTTTTATGTTCACCTCTTTTCCTTCTCTTCCTTCCACTACCGGTACAACTATAATTCGGGATATGTTTTTGAGACGAAACAATGATTTGTTGCCTGACGTAGCCATATCAAGTGGTTGCAAGAAAGTGTTTCTGAAATTTATATATCTATATAATAGATGCGAATGTCAGTGTGTTACTGTCTCACACGTTTTTATATTTGCTTCTTGATGTCTTAGCCCAGCATATACCATTTTGGAATAATGCCGACTCTGAGCAAATTAAAAATTATACCGGACCGAAAACGCTACCGCACTGCTGAAATTCTGGATTCCTAAGTTTTCATTTTTTCGGATTCCGCCATGTTAGCTTCTAATGATTAAAGCAATTAAAGGGGCAAAACTTATTGTTCTGAAATTACAATGTTTCAAAATATAAGTGCCTGCATTTTTCAATTTGACTCCTAGAAGCCGTAGCCCAACATTTCATAACATTTTGGAATAAGGCCAAATATGTGGGCAAATTAAAAACATCCTGAGCCTGAAATATCGATGTCCCAATCGGAGCATTTGATTCAGCTCATTTAGCAGACTTAATAGGTATATACATTATAGATATTCTGAGCAGATTCCTTAACCCCACAAATATAGGGATTTACAGGGATGATGGACTTATTTTGTTATATCTAATACCAATGGTCCTCTAACATCCCAACTAGAGAAGAAAATAATTAAGGCATTCAAATTTCTAGGATTTAAAATCGAAATATCATCCAACCTAAAAATAGTAATTTTTCTAGACTTTACATTTGATCTCGACAATAACACTTACAAACCCTTCCAAAAGGAAAACCAGTGGCCCATATACATAAATATCAACTCAAATCACCCGAAAACAGTTATAAACCAAATTTGAAATACAGTAAATACAAGAATAAACAAACTGTCTTCTAGTAAAACAATTTTTAACCAAAATAATTCGACATATAACCAAGCCCTATTAAAGAGTAAATTTAAACAAACACCAAATTATATAGATAAATCAATTAATAACACATCCACTGAGTTCAAAAATAGAAAAAGGAAGATTATATGATTTAACCCGCCTTTCTGTAGACTTTCGAATATTAATATAGGGAAATACTTCCTAAAACTAATGGACAAAGATTTTAGCATAAGTGAATTATTGAAAAAGATGTTCAACAAAATGAATTTAAAAATTAGTTATTATTGTATGAGGAATGTTAAAAAAATTATTAGCTCTCAGAATAGCAGAATTTTAAAAGAATTTCATAATAATCAACTACAAAAGCATATTAATGCAAACCAAAAAAAACAAAAAACAAAAAAAAAAGATCTACCTGTAATTGCAGGGCAGTATCCATTTGTCCAGTAGAAGAAATATGCATGTCAGAAAACGTGATATACGAAGCTACAAATTTTCCTCAAGAAAGATATTAAACAGAAAAATATATATATTGGAATATCGGCGGGAAATTGGAAGCAACGTTTTTATAACCACAAATAAATCTAAAAAACACCAAACAGCACTGTTAGAAAAAAATATTGGGATTTGTTGGAGAGCAACTTAACACCAAAAGTAAAATGGAAAATCGTATCAAGGGCTAGAACTGCAATAAATTTCAGAGACCGATACGACTTCTTTATAAAAGAGAAGATCCTAATGATAAAGCATAAAGATCCGGACATATTACTGAACCAACATAACGAGTTAATTTTTACATATAGACATAAAAACCACCTCAATCTAATTAAATATATTTGGAAATAACAATATAGAAATTAAAATATTATGTTATTTTTAGTTTTGGAAATAATTTCATGCACACATAGATGCGGATACATAATTGTATGTATACAAATGTGTAGATGAACTTGGACAATGATATGTGATCTTATGTATATATGTATGTACATTTGTATACGAGTGTATATATGTTTATATATGTATATATATATTGTAGGCGCATATATAAATAATATACATATATATGTGTGTATGGGTGTATTCGTAAGTTTAGGTACGTACGTTTGTATGTATATATATATATATATATATATATATATATATATATATATATATATATATATATATATATATATATATATATATATATATATATATATGGTGTCATGAATATAAGATTGCATGTGGTCTGTATATGTATGTGTGCATACATATATAAATGTAAGTATTTGTGAGTTCATATTTGTAATATGTGAATATATGTAAAATATAGTAAAATAAATACAAATTAATGTATGGGTGTTTATGGGTATAGATAGGTTTTTATATTATCTATCTATCTATATATATATATATATATATATATATATATATATATATATATATATATATATATATATATATATATATGAAGTAATCCAATGGAAGGACATAAAGTTCTTTCATTAACGTTTAATCTTACTTTTATTCATGTTTAATCTTACTTATATTCTTAATATTCTATAATTAGAATTGTGAGATTGGAATTTTTATCATCTGGAGGTAATTTCATTTTAAATTGATAATTTAATTTAGATTTAAATATAACACTTTTAACTACCAAAATTCATTTTGAAATATTAAAATTAGAAATATTTATTTTGATATTTAAACACTTAAGTCATCACCTAACTTTAAACTTTAACTGTGAAATTAAATAAAAAATTAAATAGATATAAATATAAAGATGTGAAATTATTTCTAAATGTATGTGTAGGTAGTTATATATGAATATGTATAGGTACCTGTGTATTTCCATACATGTCTATGTACCTATGTGTGTAATTGCACATGTAAATGAACGTATGTATATGTAAAATTTACATAAGTTTATATGTGGGATATATATAAGGAAAAAAATCAAAATCTTTAATATTACCTTCAAATATTATTCCATCTTAAGTTGAAACCTAAACTTTAAGTAAGAAAGATTACCCATCTAAAAATAGTTACAAATTACATTCAGGAATTAGATTCAAACTGATAAAGATGTTACCTGAACAGTCATTTACAATATTAAAAGATTACTATCAATAAACTGTTATATTTTTTTAAAAAACATAATGTGTTCTCTATGAATGTGTTAATAAGTACAGTATTTAAGTTATATTACATCCCTAAGTTATTGGTAAAAGAGTTAAATATTTAAACTGCTAGCAAGCATCAAATTAATTTCTTGTTTTTTTTTAACATTTAAATTACTATCAAAAATTAAAATCTTTTTTTACATGAATTGCTAAAAATATACCCCCTCCTTCCTAAGTAAAACCTAATTACGTCTTTGTTCCCTTTACTTCCTCCTTTCTTTTTACCTTTTCTTTTTCTCCCTTCTCCCTCCCATTTTAATATATCACTTCCGTTAAGTTAACCGTTTAAATAAGTCAAGTTCTAGTCCCTCCTCCCCAAATACTAAGTATGATTGAAAGAACTATTAAAATAAACCTTCTCTAAACTCAAACATGTATCTTCAACCACTCCTCCCTATCGTCTCTCTTAAATTACATAAACTTGATACTACCCGTCAAAAGTGCGAATTTTCATTTCATCTTTCATTTCATTTTTGGAAGTGTTATCTTATGATCCATGGCTCTGGTGAAATAAATTATTATAATGGAAACTTAAAGTGGTCTGTTTTTCTTTAAAATTGTGTTTCGATCCTAGGTAGAGGCAACCGGGAGTTTTCACATTGGTGTGCTGTGATACAGCGGAACAGTCTGTCTGTGGATGACAATTATATATATATATATATATATATATATATATATATATATATATTATCAAGGACGAAATTGTTCGTGCATCCACCAAGAAATATTCTTATCAATTTCTCAGAATCTAATGCCCGTATGACGCCAGGTCTTTTTCATATGTTAATAAGCACACATATAGGAATGTGGCGACCAATCTTTCGTAGAAAAAATACACGATTATCCTAACACATCTTTTTATTGAGGCTTTGAGAATATTCCATTTACTTCAGTTCGGCAGAAGGTATACGTAGACAAAGTGTATTAAATAGATTGGGTGGACAGAATAAAAGTTCCACGGGTGGACTTTCCTCCCAAAACATAATAGTCTTATTTACCTGTTTATTTCAGCTCAATGGTATCTAAAATACACGCCTTCACGCAAATTATTTTATATCTAGTGATTTTCCTTCTGAAGCAAAGAGCGCGTAGAAGAGTTAGGCCGGAATTATGACAAGGACAGTGCGGCTTCCTTAAGTACACTGTGTAAAAATATGTAATTACTACATATCTTTGCTCAGAATGCTACGAGAAAGAACAATACAAATACAATATATCTATACCCATAATTTATAGATTATGTAAAAGCGTTTGATAAGACACAGCACAAAGAATTGTTTCAACTGTTAGGTAAGCTTGATTTGTTTCTGAATGATACTAGAATAATGCATAACAATATGTGTAAAACACCTACATACAGATAGAAAATGAATTCTGAAAATACAAAAAATAGATAGCGTCGTAAGACAAATATTTTTTTCTCTCAAGATTTTTTCAAACTTCATAGCGAAGCCATCATGAAGAAATAGAGTTCATACCACGATGTATTATCGATGATCAAAATCTTTATTCGTATGATGTGTCGATGAAATAGGGTTGATAACAGACATAGAAAATTCGGATAATACTGCAGACGTTAATAAAAATGAAAAAGAGAAAAAATGTTTAAATATAAATTGTAAGATGATAGGATATATGATTACCAGCAAAAGGAACATCCCAAGATACGAATTACGATTTAGCGATATCAAAATCAAACAAATAAGAAAATTAAAATATATGGGAAAAGTTTCAATAGAGGACGGACACTGCAATACTGAAATCTGAAGATGCATTTGAATAGCCAAAGAGACCTACCAAAACATAAGGAAATGTTTAAGAATCAGAACCATTAAGTTAGAAACTAACAGAAGTGTACTGAGAGGTTAAACTATATCGGCTCTCCTTTATTTCAGTGAATGCTGGACAATTTCTTCATCGATAAAGAAAAGACTTGAATCCACAAAAATATAGTTGAAGAGAAAAATACTAGGAATATCATAGGGTTAAGCGAA